AATCCTGCCAATTGTGAAAACATGGATCTTGAGGGCACTATGCTAAGTAAAATAAGTCAGAGAGAGAAATACGTATATCACTTACACGTTGAATCCAAAAAAGCCAAACTCACAGAAACAGAGAATAGAATGGTGGTTACCAAGGGCTGGGGGTGGGAGAAATGGGGAGACGTTAGTCAGAGTACAAACTTCCAGTTAGAAAATGAATAAGTTTGGGGGATCTTATGCACAGCATTGTGAATATAGTTAACAATATTGTATTACATATTTGAAAGTTGCTAAGAGAGTAGATCTCAAATGTTCTTACCACAAGAAAAAGAATCATGTAATTGTATGACATGATGGTGTTCGCTAATGCTACTGTGGTAATTGGCGATATATAAATGTATCGAGTCAACACATCCTACACCTTAAACTTACATAATGTTATACGTCAATTATCTCTCAATAAAGTTGAAAATAAACAAAACAAAAAGGAAACACATAGTGCACCCATCTTTTTGGGTGCCTCTGTATTCTTAAGCTCTTTTCTTATTAGATAAATATGCTACAAATACAGTTAGATATCCTCTGTGTCAATACTAAGAATGAGTTTTAAAACAGACTGTGAATAAATACTCAAGCACCATTTGTTTAACATTCAATGTGAAGAGCCTATTATCCCATCATGAACATAAACCACCAAGAGAATGTGAAAAACAAGTAAGCAATTTAGCACCAGAGTAAAGGCGAATATAATTTTGACAAAAGTCAGTTTCCTATAGTTATACTTTCTACAAATGCACTTATTTTTAAATGAAAATATGGTAGAAAGAATCCTGAACAAGGTAGGTAGACAGACTCTTATCCACAGGTTACAAAGAGGCCACCACCACCGGCTTTGACTGCTTGACACATTGTTTTAAAAAGAAATCCCAACCCTTAGGTGGAGTATATACACTGCTGCCCCACCGCTCCCTACTCAGAGTCTGTTTCCATGGGCCCTGACATAGTCATATCTTTAACTATGGTGGTTGTCCTGAGTTCTGATCATTTATTAAGTGGGAATTCCTTCTGTTCTACCTGTTGCATAGGGATATTAGAGAGTATTAGAAAGTAAAGTGATCTACTGTATACAAAACAACGAAAACCTTTGGTGAGAAGATGGTACAAAAAATTAAACAAAGAGATTGCCTAAATTGATCAATGTACTCATATTACTGACAACAAAGAGCAAGAACAGAATGATCAAAACACAGATGATTCAAAAGTAACATTTAAACAATTAAATCCATTTTTTCTTCTCTAAATTTTTAATCAGATCCAATAGCAAAAAGGACTCAACACTTCTCTCTGTACCTTTTGACCCTTTGGTAGACTTTTAAGGAATAATAAAATGACCAAGGGGGAAAATGAGGGAGCAAGGAGAAAGATTACATGAATAATCTTCCAGGCTCCCACATAATCTAAAGAAGAGATAATTTTAAAAAGTATGTTACTGCAGGAAAAAAGTTAAGATTTTTTTTCTTGGAGTAGGCCATAAATATTGATATCTTCATCACTATTAATGGGTACTAAAAATATAATCTCTTCTGTTTTATCTTTTCCACCTATACTAGATGGGGAGTAAAATGTTTGGTAAAGGGTAAAATTAGAAAATATTTTTTAAATTCAAGCAAACAATTATTGATTATCTACTCTGGGTCTAATGTGTTAAAGACATAACAGTAGATTATAACATTACTGTAAGGCCAACTGGCCCGAGGCAGGGGAACACAATCAGATTCACAGGTTGCATCAGAACGAAATTCTCCGGACCACCCAGTTCCAGAAACTGCCCTAGCGACATTCCGGATCACCCAGTTCCAGAAACTGCCCTGGAGACATTCCGGACCACCCAGTTCCAGAAACTGCCCTGGAGACATTCCGGATCACCCAGTTCCAGGAACTGACCTGGGGACTTTGAAACCAGCCCAGCCTTCCCGCCTTTCGAGGGGCGGGACTAACGGTCCCCCAGGATACCCGAAAAGACCACCAAATAAGGAATACCCTGCGCCCTCCTAGATTCACCACACCCCTTTCCCTTCTTCCCCTATAAAATCTTGACCAACCCTCACCCGGGCGCGACTTCTCTGGCCCCCTTTCTCTCGGACCAGTGAACCTCGCCCGGGAGCGCTCCCTAATAAAGCTCACTCGAAGCTTTCCTCTGTTTCGTGGTGCCGTTCGTTAAGATCCGACCTTACAATTACTCCTGCCCTCAGGGAGCTTATCATCCTTAAAGAAAGAAAAGACATACATAAGAAATAATTAGAGAAGACAGAAGAAAAAACTGTTGAGCAGAACACAATTACGTGTCCCACTATTACAGTTAACCAGAGTTCAGTTAACTAGAAAGCCCACATACTTGGAATCTTTTATTTTAAAATTTAATTAATTAATTTATTTATGGCTGTGTTGGGTCTTCGTTTCTGTGCAAGGGCTTTCTCTAGTTGTGGCAATCGGGGGCCACTCTTCATCGCAGTGCACGGGCCTCTCACTATCGCGGCCTCTCTTGCTGCGGAGCACCGGCTCCAGACACGCAGGCTCAGTAGTTGTGGCTCACGGGCCTAGTTGCTCCGCAGCATGTGGGATCCTCCCACACCAGGGCTCGAACCCGTGTCCCGTGCCTTGGCAGGCAGATTCTCAACCACCGCGCCACCAGGGAAGCCCTGGAATCTTTAGTTAATTAAATTCACTAGGTGGCTCTAAGAATTCAAAGGTTCTTTTTAAACACAGTTAAAGTTTAGAGTCTGTCAACCTTGAATACTTCCTTCAATTCTCTGCCTCCAGGAAAATCCGACAAAAGCATTGTTTGCTATGCTTAACAATTAAGGGATGAGTCAAGCTTCCCTGGAGACCTGAACCTCTAGCAATTATTTCCTCCCTGACCTCACTGTAATATTTTTATTGCATGTCTAACATTCAAAAGGTATAATCTCTGTTTTATGCCATGCATGTTGATATATTTAATGAATAAAGCACAGTTCCTACCTTAAAGGAATTCACCTGAAAAAGACACATGCATAGTTTTAATACAATGCAGTTATATAGGACAGGCATGTACAAGGTTTCACTGGGTTATAAGGACACATATCAAGAAAGGTCAAGGAGCGATGGGGTTGCTCCATTATTGGTGATGCTAAGTTTGATCACTTGAGTAGGGTGACTACCACCTAAGCTTTCACTGTAAAGATATCTGCGTCTCTTTATAAGCTTGGTGGAGAAAGAAAAGATGGGTAGGAGGTGTAGAATTTCTGGAGAAAGTGGGATCTAGCCAGACAAAGCGGAGAAGAGGGGTGAAAACACTAGGCAGATGGGACAGCAAAGCACCAAGCTGAGAAAAACTAGAGCACGGGCCTGAAGAGACAGGCAGTACAGAGTGTCACGATGGGTCCAAGAGGTGGGCCAGGAACAGATTAAGAGGGGCCTTGTAATCCAGCGTTAAGGAGACTGGTTTATCTTCGGGGCTAGTACTATAGTGCAAAAAGATTACAACTTGCTGAAGGTTCTGATGATAACATATATTTTAGCAAGAAAGTATTATTTAAATTAAGGTATGTACATTGTTTTCTTAGACATGCTATTGCACACTGAATAGACTACAGTACAGTGTAAACACAACTTTTATGTGTACTGGGAAAACAAATTATTCCTGTGACTGGCTTCATTGCGATATTTGCTTTATTGCGGTGGACTGGTACCAAACCTGCAATATTTCCAAGGTATGCCTGTAGTCTCCAAAGTGCGCTGTGCCCCGGGACACTGGAGGAGAAATTTTAATTACTATTTATTTATTTATTTACTTATTTTTTGCTGTACGCGGGCCTCTCACTGTTGTGGCCTCTCCCGTTGCAGAGCACAGGCTCCGGAAGCGCAGGCTCAGCGGCCATGGCTCACGGGCCCAGCCACTCTGCGGCATGTGGGATCTTCCCGGACCGGAGCACGAACCTGCGTCCCCTGCATCGGCAGGCGGACTCTCAACCACTGCGCCACCAGGGAAGCCCCCTAATTACCTTTTAAAATATCTATACTTGCTATACATTTCAGAATGGACAATATTATATGTATGAATTGAAATCAGGACCCTAAGAGGAGGACTGGGGGTTAGGAAGAGAGAAGGAAAAGCTGTTTTGAGACTTACTAGTTACTTAAGAGCATCTCGGAGGAGCTGTTCAACAGACAGCTGTACATGAAACTGAAGATCTGGGGAGGGGCCTTTGCCTGGACATGTCGATTTGGGACATCTGCCGAAAATACGAGAGAAAAGAGCTGTGGAACGGTGGCAGAACTCTGAGAAACACAAACATTTATGATAACATGATTACTTTTTTTTTTGAAAGGAAAAGTAGAGCACAAGGAGTAGTGTTCGTACTCGTTTAAAATTTTTAAAAGCTCTCAGATATTAATACAAAGTAAGTAACTGCTAGTCCTTACTATTCCCATTACTGTGAAAATGAGGCTCAGTGTATCGTGAAGGGAAAAAAATGTTTCTGCTAGTAATCGAGCAGCAATTCAGAATGAGAAAATTTAATTTTCTTACCATTTTGAGGGGCAGTCAATAAAGGGTTTTAAAGTCCCCCATGAAACCTGGACCCTTTGAAGAAATGACTGATTACAGGGTTGGGCCAGGAAAAATACAAAGTGAGCCTGGAATACCTTGTGTCAAAAGGCAAAGAAGTGTTTCAAGATCACAAAGGGATGTAAATAGGACGTAAGAGCTGGCTTACAGGGGCTCCCACTTACCAAATTTGGGATGATTTGAGCATCACAAAGAATAATGAATTTTAACACACTGAATATAAAAAGAATATGTGTCTATAGTGATATTTCAAAGCACAAGATGAAAAAATGGAAAGCTCTTCTTTCACACACAAAAAATGCCACTTAATAAATGTAGAATGAAGGATAGAATTTAAAAATCTCCAAGTCACGACACCTATTTAATAACGGATTCAGGCTAATAATCATCAACAGATGTTAAAACCATTGGGTTAAAGTTTATTGAAGAACAGGATACTCATGTGGCCTCACAGGTTCCTTCTTAATTATCAAGTGGAAAGTACCTTACATTGCAAAGATAAGACAGATACTATCTTAGCCAAATTGAGCATCACCAACAATGGGATGAACTGACATCACCGTGCCTTCAGATGTCATACAAAAGGGAAATACATATCATCTAGGCAATATTGTTTACTTTAAATCTAACCATGAAGAAACACTCAGACAAATCCAGAAATGTGGAACATTCCATAAGCCAACTAGCCTGTACTCTTCAAAAATGTCAGAAAAGACTTTAAAAAAAAAGGGGGGGGGGCAGGGGAACTGCTCTAGAGAAAAGAATGAAACAAAGGAGACTAAACCCAATCATAAAGTTTGCCTGAGTTCCCAATAAAAACAAAACAGAAACATATAAAGATATAGAATATTTTGGGAGCAACTGGGGAGTACAAATTGTATACTAGATATTATTAAATCAATGTTAAATTTCCTGGGTGTGATAATGGTGTGGTGGTTATATAAAAAATGTTCTTGTTCTTAGGAGTTACATGGTACATTTTAGTGGCAAAGAAGCATCATGATGACTGAAATTTACTTTCAAAGGGATCAGCAAAAAAGAAAAAAAAAGAGAGAAAGGAAAAAAAATTATAGACATAGAGGAGATAAAGCAAATATAACAGAATGTAAACACCTGGTGAATTAGAGAAATGAATGTTCATTGTACTATGTTTCCACCTTTCTATAGTTAAAAATTTTTTCAAAATAAAAAGTCAGGAAAAATATATAAAGTAATCTATGTGTGGCCAATACGCTATAGCTGATTTTATTTACATGAATATACTCATAAGTGATTTAATACTTTAAAAAAAGCCCATCATGAAATTCCTTCCCATCAAAGCTAACCAAGGGGGACTAACATCACCTCTGGCTAGTGTCAGCAATGTAATTTGTCTTGTTTTTACCCCCCCGAGTCAAGGATCATATTTGACTTACCTGTGAAATTAACAAACCAGTAAAACACTTATAGCACTCAGCCACCTTATCAAAAACAATTTTAAAAAAGCTATAATCTTCTGGTTTTAAAATAATTTATTTCATAGGTCTGTTTTAATTTCATGTCTCAGAGCATACATTATTTAACCAAGAGGGGCTGGACACAGATTGTAAAAAGGGAGGAAACATTTAGAAACTCCCTCAATTCCATTAGAATTTGATCCTACCTTGTAAAGTCTTGCTAGGATAAATTTCTATCATACTTCTTTTGTGCTTACAAAAAGACATTAACTTCTGAATTTCCAATGTTGTAAATAAAAATTTTTACATTTAAGTATGCATTCATATTGACACACAAGGCAACCAAATAATTGTCATCAACGTTAGCAAAATGTATATTTCCTGTCACTGCACTAACATTAAATTAAACGTCAAACCACAAAAACTTGGTGACTAACATTAAAAAGGCAAGCTGTAGGATACGCAAAGCTTATAAAGGACAAATTGCACGTGGTTAAGATGGGACATCATTTGACAAGGGCTGGTGGTGTGCATATGGCTGCTTTTTTTTGTAAGAAGGCCACCGGCAAACAGGGCAACAGTGTCGGCCCCCAGCCAACCACATCACAATGCAATTCTGATGGAACACATGACCACAGGGCAACCCCATTAGCAAACATCCATTTTCAAAATTCTCTAGGCAAACAACACATTCAGTACAGTGCAGCATATCAGCAGGCCAAGTTAACCAATCAGGTTCCATGTCTTCGTTAGTGCTATATGATCCATATGACCGCCCCTTCCTTGCATAAGGGCTGGTCTGACAATATTTATTGGCACATGAACAAGCCTCAGGATCACAGTGACTTGCTCTTCCTGGAGAATTGTGAACTACGTTTCGTTTATCTTCAAATACTTCCTTCTCGCTGCTAAAAGTGTCTGTGCTCTCACTGTCTGAGTCATTTTCAATATCTTGAGGACCTTCCAACATTTCCTCTTCAGACTGGACTCCAAGGCATTTAAATCGCCACACTGGCAAGTTTTTTATATAATCAGTTGGTATCAGAGGGTGAAGCCAAAGGTCAGGGAAAGCTAATCGCTCCAAGAACAAGTCGGGGTCTTCGTCCCAATCAGATTCTACAGGGAAGTTCTGAAAAGAAGCAATCGGGTGGAAGAGGTAGCTGGTGTACCAGTCCCACAGACTTGATAACCACTCTAAGTTATTGGCATTGACTTCATCATTGTTGTTGTTGCGCCGTCTCTTCTTTTCAAAGTAATCGACTAGTAAACCATGTCCAAGGTATGTACTAAGAAACAAGGCTGGGTGTGAAGAATAAAACATCCAGTCTGCCCTGACCCATGAGGCCAGCGTGGTTGTATTGGAATATCTCAACAATTTTAAGCTATACTCATAAAAGCTATCTAAGTAAGGGAGCTGTAAAAAGCCCAACACAGGTAGCCAGGAAATAATTAATAGAGAATTATATGTCCCTAAAGTGCTTATGAGAACCACAAATCGTTTTATGGTAGCTCCTTGTGTGATAAATAAGTCCATCCAAGCCATAAGATTAACTAGAACCAAGCTCAAAACAAACAAATCATTTACTTCAGGTTGTACTGAGCGCAAAAATGAATCCATGGCCTGAAGGGATATAAATTCGCCCGTGTGGTTTCCATACCTGTAAATTCCTTCGGGAGTTCTAAGTATGTATGATGGCATGTTATATACACCAATATCTGTCATATAACTCTTGTTGTCCCAATTTTCCACATTTACAAAAATAAACTCAACTCTTCCAGTAAACTTTATGCTTAGTGCAGAGAAGAAAGCTGGGGGTTGGTCAAGGTTTGCAAATAGGTATATTTTTACCCAGTATTGATCACTTTTATTCCATTCTTCTTTCAAACGTTCAGCATTATAAATGGTTTTGATCCGTGAAGCTGCATGAGCAGTTATCCACTTAAAAATGTGCTCTACTTCAATCTTGCGCCCACTGTATTCTTTAAGCATGACTTTCCCTTTAGAAGTACTTGTTTGTGGAACAGACATAATGAGTGTGGATCGTACCCAGCCTCTTCTCCTGCAGTATCTACAAGAGAGGAGACTGTAAGTAAATAGCTAGGCCGCTAAATGAGCCAGCTTGCTTATCTTCACTGTTGTGCAAACAGTTTGTCTTTTCCCTGACACATTTCCTTAGCACTTGAAAGATACCCTCTCCCCAAAAACAAATTACCTGTAAACAGTCAAAAGTAGTACCAATACCTGGCAGTTGTATAAGAGGAAAAGCAAGCTCTCTTTTTATCATATTTTTCGTTTGTATCTCTATATTTCTTTTCTTTCTTTTCTTTCTTTTCTTTTTTTTTTTTTTAAAGAAAAGTGTAGCTTGAAAAGCCTTAGAGTCAAGAGAATCGGCAAGTACTTCCAGCATCTACTATGAAACTACTAATGCATTATGTGCTAATAAGATCCTAAAGATAATAGGAAAATAATTCCTGTTCACAAAGAATTTAAAATCCTATTAAGGAGACAAAAGTATAAAACTGTATGTATTCTATTACTAAATAATGTAAAGGAAGTTCAAAAAAAGGGAGTATCACTGGGAGTTTGGGCTGGTGCAGATTTCATGAAAAGTTTGGGAATTGAACTAGCTCTCGAAGGATGGTTAGATTCAGGTAGGCAAAGGAGAGAAGGAAACAGATTATCTTACATGCTGAGTCCCTGACTTGAATGCCAAGCTCCTGAGGGTAGGAGCCATACTGTACCCACTTATTAACCCAAGCACCCACCACAATGCCTGACACACACAAGCACTGTCATAAAGTAATCTGCACGAAGGCTCACCTAGAAAAGAGCAAGTCCTATATTTTTCTGTACTCTCTCATCTCTTTAATGAGGACCATGAAGAGGGGTATTTGGAGAGATAATCAGAGAAACAATTTCCTTTAAAAACAAAAAAGTTTTTTTCTAAAAACCTACCATGTGGAGTTTTACAATATACAAATTTACCTCAGTAAAGTTGGAAAAAAGAAAATCTACCATGTGGATACATTTTGTTCACTACAGATTTATAAGTGGATGGTAATAAATGTTTAATTTTTAATTTTGCTATTCAGAATACTGATGTAAAAATCACAAATGTTATCTGCAGCGGGGGGGGGGGGGAGGCCCGCATACCGCAAAAGGGGAAAAAAATCACAAATGTTATGCTTTAAAGTATGGATTATATTTTATTAAATTAAATAAGCATATTATACATTTATATGATCAGATTAAGATAGAAGTCTTGACGTATGTGGCATATGGTTTTATGATGATAGTACAATTAATTTTACCTCAGGAATTTCATGATATAATTTAAGATAAGTGAAGACAACATGTTATGTCACAAAGACAAGGTTAGTAACGACTCTGGGAAACTATCTGGGTGACTCAGGATCAAAGACTACGACTCAGCTTCTTGTTGAGTTGATTTACTTCCTTAACAAGATAGATACCATTAATGTCAATATTGCTTTAATTGAAACGGGTTAAGAATTAGATACTCCAACAAAATAAAATATCTTCTATTCTGTAACAGTGTATTTGTCCAATGCAAAATAATAGTTCACTGACATGAATGCCAGTTCCACCACCCTCCCCCCAAAACAACAAGTCAACTACATATAGATAGTTGCCTTATTCACATCTTAAATATCTAACGAGCTTTACTTTTTTAATTGCATAGGATACTTGGGATGACACATTTCTACTCTCGGTCATTCTGTTCATCTTTGTATAACCACCTCAGAGAATATTTGGCTTCTGATTTGTGTCATAAATTAAATGACAGTCTTTCAAACAGAAAATTTTACTGTGTAAAACAAGCCAAGTCTTATCTTAGTGCATACATTTCTTCATGGAAGAAAACAAATGTACTATGTACTTTCTTTTCAGTTCAGAACTAAGGGACAGTTTTAAGGTTTATCATTTCACAAGATAAGAGTACCCAGGACAATAAAATTTTGTATGTCATCATATATCTTTCAAATTAAATCATGTTTTCCAGACTTGAAATCCAACACACAAATAAAGTACACCATATTAATTTTAAAACCCCACTGTTAGACAGAAAAGACTAATGCTCATATCAGTATAAAAACTTTTTACTGCCAATTTAAAAAACCTTTTTAAAGGTCTGAATAAGTTCAATGATGACACCACGAAAATATCCTCTAGTTCTTAAAGTAAACCTTTTGAGATCTCTTAGAGAATTTGAAGACTAAAAATGATTAAAAAAAAAAAAACATAGCTAGTGAGTTTTGGCACTCCAGCTTCTGATAACATACTACATTTAAAAAGAAACCTTGGTATTCTGTTCATAAAATGCTGTTTCTTCAGACAAGGTCATTGGTCTCCTTGGCCTTCCTGTCCTGCTCACCAATCTTCCCTTTACTTTCTTTTCCCTGCTTAGCCCATGGGCACGCATCCCTGATTCTTTCACCATAAGCCCTCCTGGCCCATTTACCACTCAGCTCCTGTAATTCCAGTGCCATCCCACTCTTCACTATCTCTGCCCCGCCTCTCCAACCTCCCGATACATATCCCACGTCACTTCCTTCTTTCTCCAAAGGTGGGGGGAGAAAAAGAGTAGAGAATAGACCTGACAGGGTAAAGGCCCCTGAGATAGATCACTGGGTTGGGGAATTAGAGGAACTGGGGCCAGGCAAGATGGCTGTGTGGGAAAGAAATGAAAACTGCTGCCATGGACAGAGTCAGATACTGTACAGAGTGGAGGTCCTGAATGTTCTTAAGGGGAGCAAAACAGGTCAGGAAAATACTACGATACAATGGGGCCAGCACATCAGAGGAGGCTGTCCTGGAGGCCACCCAAGAGAAGGAACTACAGTCAAAGAAAGCAACATAGGCAGCAGAGTAGAGAGTTTTGCTGTTTTTAAAAATCTGAGATCAAGTTGATGACTGAATTATTCAACATATTAAAATGCTTGCTTGCTGAATAACACTATTCTCTGCCCAGTTACACCCTGCATTGACATTCTAAACACGCTTTTCTATTATCTCCCTATTTTGTTCTTCTGCATCTCCATAATCCTCATTAAAAGAAAAAAAATGACCCTGACTAAGCACAGCATCTATGACAAGAATAGTTCTTACTCTAGTTGGAAGACTTTCCAAATCAAAGGAAACCAACATGACAGTACTGAAACTGATATAAGTAACTCTGCATCAAGATCTTCATCTCTGTGATGAAACTAAGGAAGATGACGTAAAAGTGCTTGTTTAATAACAAAAAATTATAGCTGCAGTCAACAAAAAAGCAAAAAGTTGCTCAAAAAAGGTCTCTTCCATCATAAATAAGAGGTGGGATTATCTGAAGACGAAGATGAAGGATTTAGAGAAAACTTGGAGGTAGATTATATGTATCTCTTCACCGTTCCTCAGCTGGTATAGAACCAAAAAGGGCTTTTCAAAAGAAAAGCTAGAAAAATTTGCGCTAAAGTCCACTGGACTCAATTATGACACTTCTGATGCATTTTGCTTTATAAAATCACATTAAAAATCAATTCTACTATTTCCTTCAGTTTTTCATGCTGAATAGATCATCTTCACTTTATGTCATGCTTAGTTTCGTTTTGAATTCTCTATTGTTATTTAAGAACTTACGTTAGACTGAAATGTGTTTGACCTTTATATTTTTGTACTTACTTGATATTTTCTAATATATTTATAAGTTAGTGTTTAAAATGTATTATTTAGTTTATTCATTAAAAAAATAAGTTCTGAATATTTTTCAATAAATTGGTGATGTTAATACTGACTTTTGGCATTATCTGAAAAAAAAAATCAAAACATCAGAACTATCATTTATTCTGGTATTGCAATCACCAGTGGGAGAGAAAAAGATCTTTCACTTAGACCATCTGGGAATGATGGAATAGGACCAAATGCCACTGTCTTTGGTAAACACAAGACAGAAATAAGAATGATTTCCTTTTCATAAGAACATGAACACTTACGCTATCTTGGACATTTCAACCAAAGGCATTAGAATATGATCAAGGTTCTGTGCTGAAGATGAAAATGGGAGCTTTGTGGGTGAATGAGGAGACTAAATGTGAGTCAGGAGACACAAGTTCCCTTCTTATCCCCAACGTTTAAGAAGTCCTCCTACCACACATCTCAGCCTACACTACAAGTGAGCAAAACAAGAACAGTGAGGAAAATCGAAGCAAACGTAAGCCTGAAGGAGAAGGGCAGGAGAATCTGAGGTGAAGCAGTGGTGGAGGAGGGTTTTCTACAGCGAATGGGTCTCCCATTGTGACCACATATAACGGACGTAGGTAAGCCAGGCGTATCTACCTACATCAGAAACTACCTAACGTGGGGGCTTCTCCATACATATCATATGCCCCGTCCTCAGCACTGAACAGAACATGCTGTACATGCTAATCTTTTTCTTTTAAATTTATTTATTTATTTATTTATATTTGGCTGTGTTGGGTCTTTGCACGCAGGCTTCCTCTAGTTGCATTGAGCTGGGGCTACTCATTGTGGTGTGCAGGCTTCTCACTGCAGTGGCTTCTCTTGTTGTGAAGCACGGGCTCTAGGTGCATGGGCTTCCATAGTTGTGGCACGCGGGCTCAGTAGTTGTGGCGCACGGGCTTAGTTGCTCCGTGGCATGTGGGATCTTCCCGGACCAGGGCCCGAACCTGTGGTCCCCTGCACTGGCAGGCAGATTCTTAACCACTGTGCCACCAGGGAAGTCCAACTAATCTTTTATTAAATGTTTACTGAATGGATAATTAAATGAACGAATGAATTCAAGTCATAACTTGGAGGAACTAGAAATTGAAATAAAACGCATTTCAAAGAAGAAACAATGGAATAATGAAACAAGAAATAATGTGACAGACTAAATACTGGAGATGATGACAAAAAGAAAAACAAAAATGCCTGCAAAGATTTTTGTCTGAGAAAATGGAAAAAAAAAATAGTAAAGGACAGAAAAAGAAAAGGTAGAAAGGGCACATGGTTTACTAAAAAAAAAAAAGATGAATATGAATTTGAATACCAGGTTTAGGGAACAGAGTCTATCTGGGGTACTCGTATGGCAAATGGAAACGAGTGTCAAAATGCAAACGAGAGGTCCGAATTATGAAAGGAGATTTAGATCAGCACAAAGGTGTCACCTAAAGCCATCAATGTACTGAAGTCTCTTTGGGAAGTAAAATTGAAACAAAAAAGACCGAGGACATACTCTAAAGAGTCACCCCGTTAGAAACAGCATAGAAGAACCAGACAGAAAGAGAGCTCAGAGAGAAAGTGAGTAACTGCCAGTTATCAAAAACTATTAATCAGATACCTGTGTAGCTAACAACGTGCTAAACACGCTAACGAACTTTCAGTTTAAACAGGCTTCTAATACCACTGTCTTTATCACATTAAGAAAATTCTGGTCAGAACTCAAATTCTAAGAATTGCCCAATCAACTTACCTGGGGTCACTGGCACAGTTAAATGTGCCTGTACGTATTCCAAATCTTGACACCTTTTTCACCATTTTCTCCCAGTGGATTTTACCCACCAAAGGACTTCTGTCATTTGCTATAACCTATTCCCCCCAAAAGAAAAACAGATACTTTAATCACCTAAAATGGAGTCAAACCAACCATTTACATCTATAACTTTACTTTTTTTGAAAAACATATTCTGTTCCTAGATCTTGTTTACTACGTCATCATATTATCACTGCAATTCTTGTAAAAGGAGCAACTGTCCAACTGGAAAAGATTTAAAACACTGAATACAGTACATTAAACTCTCACACTCTGTGGTAGTTATGCAGAGGGGGAGTCAAAACCATATTAAAAAGCTAGCCACATTCTCCTCCATGTGGCTTATCCTCTAGAATTAACTTACACAGGAAGAAAATGGCCCTTGGAGTCATTTCTCTGCTCTGAAAAGAAAATTTTAAATAACCCAAATAAAGCTTACTAAAAATTACCACATGTGGGTTCAACGAGTTCAAATTTCACTTTTTAAAAGTGTAATTATGGAGCCAAGAGTCAAACACATGTTTTCTATTAAACTATGCTTGACTAAAACAATATACTACTACTATGGCATTTTTCTTAACAATCACGAAAGGTTCTAACATATTAAAAAATTACCATTAATAAATTCTACATTCTTGAACTTCTAACTTCAAATTTGCAAATAGCTTTCAAACAGTTAGGATTGGGGGAAGAAAAAAAATTTTTTTAAATGTAGATTAACCTTCAAAATATGCAATGACTTTTCTCAGACTTTCTAATTGTTAATACCTTTTCCCTTTATTCCTTATCTTCCTGATTTTAATGAATAGAGATACCAGTAAAAAACAAACAAAAAGTATATATTAAAAACAAAAATAACTAAATGGGAAATTAAAGGAAATCCAAAAGTGTCCTATGTCTTCATGAACCCATCTGTTTGATTTATTTTAAGCCCAGGGTATACAGGCCAAGTTATTTTCATGAATGCTATATTACTGATACTATTTAATTCAAAATTACAGCACAGTACTCTGGGGGCCTCTAAACTCTCTAGAAGGAAGGGCCATTTTCACATTCACAAAGCCTCCAGGAAGTGAAATCCCAGGTGAGTGTGTGCAATGAGTGCCTGGGAGAGGCAAGAGCTGGTGCAAATACCTCATCTCTGGTCTCTCCACTGGGAAGTCTAACAAATTTCAAGGGCAGCAGGAGGAGAGAAAGTGCATGGTGGTGACAAGTGACTTAAAGTTCACTTTATGTGCCAACAGATTACTGTCCGATAACCTTTGCCATATATCACTGATACTATCATCCTCATACCTACAGAGACACACATAGGTATGTAACACTTTGTAACATAACTTTGAGGCTTAATAAATACATACACAAATATACAATTTAGGCATTGAACAAATGGTTCTGATAGTACTTTTAAGTGAAAATAAATGGCCTTAATGAGGGAGGCACATGTTATTAAAATGCTCAGATGGTTGAGGTAACCAGGAGGAGAGCAATTTGAGGACATGGTCTTAGCAGGTGAAAGTGCTTTCTGAGGAGGTTCACACAGGTTACATTACCCAGTAAGTTCCTAGCTTCCACATTTTTCCATTGTCTAAAAGTACTTTATAAATTTTATCTGAAAAATAAGGGAGATGAAGCAAGGCAGGCTTTTCTCTTCTCTTCTGTTTTTCTTTTCCTACCACTGAAGAGTCAATATGGTAGTTCTTTCTTCCATCAAGTAACCAAAGAAATCTTGAACTTATTTTTCAGATTACTCAGAAGGATTAAGAAATCTCTGTAAAATCATATCGCTATACTCCCTGGTCTTTGCCCTGTTTTTTAAAATAACTCCCCTTTCACTCCTATTTCCTGATCAATGCTGCAAATAGGATTTGGCCCTCAGTCTAGGGGCATCTTTCAGTGAAGATCCTGATCACTGCACAGTCATCCAATGCTAGGAAAGGAAGTAGGAATGAGGGGGTTGTTCCAGGCACCCCTGGTTATAGGACAGACAACAAAAGTGTGTGAAGAGAGGTGGTGAATATCTCTGAGGCAGGTACATGACAATGTTTAACCACAGGGCCTTATTTATTCAGCAAGCTATTCCAACATCTGCTTTGAAGAGTTTAATGATTCCTGACTAAGAGAACCACAAAAAAAATGAAAAATCCCTTAGGCAGTGCATGAAAGCATTTTATTTGACTCTTTAGTTATATTTACGCAATTAGAAATTGCTTTATCCAATGTCCTATATAGTTATATTATTCAACTGAAGGTTTAGCATAAATTAAATTTCGTGGAGGCCAAATTAAACAACCACTAAAAATGTTTTAACAAAATAACTCATCTGGCTTGTCACATGGCACAACAAAATACTCTAAGCCTATTACTACTGTGTCACATCAGTAACAGTTTCCAAGTTATAGCTCACATCCAAAAGCATGCACAGTGATTCTGAATGGCATTCACTCTGGTGGTGAAACGGGAAGCATATTCCTCTGCAGTTCACGAAGGATGTTGCATTCTCTGTGGGGAATATTTTCAGAGACTAGAAAAAACTAGATGAAAGTACAGCCTGAGTTCCAAGTCTCAAGTCTGGAACGGACCTGGCAACATAGGCTAGCAGTGAAGCAATCTTTCCATCCTCCTTCCCAGGGTATCCGCCTCTCTAACCACCAACCCTACACTTGCTCACCATTGTTTTCCCTGCAGCTAGCATGATGCCTAAGTCAGGTGGGCACTTATTAAATATTTATGTTGAATTAAACTATTTCAGCTTTTTATGGTTTAGTAACTCATTCTCTTACTTCTGATTATATAGGTTCTCTAAAGGCTCCAAGTTTCCGATATCTGTTATAATGAAAGTCCCTTCCCCAGCAACCTGTCATCTGGGATGTTTTCGGACAAACATTAGCATAACTAGTACCTGGCTATGCAACTGCACATCAATGTTCTTGACCCCAGTCACACACAAAGACTTCCAGTTCAGTGTATTTAAAAATACACTTTTTTCAGAAAAAAAACTACTAGGTTTTTCCTAGTACTAATTTTCCTGGTTTCTACTTTATTGTCTAATAGCTCTTTAGGATCTCTCAAGATGGTGGCACCATCACGGACCATCTAACTTAGCTGGAAAAGGTAATCTATGCTAAGAGTTTTTACTGGCCCACACATTTTAGTAAACCAAGCTGTGAGCTGTCTTACGGCACAGACTGTAGGTTATTCGTCTTTTTTGCCCTTATCACAAGTTCAGCTGGCACACATTAGATTTCAATAAATATTTGTTGGATGGTTGGATGAATGGATGAAACCAGTGGTTTGCTGGTAAATGTTTAACAACTAGCTGTCTAGAAGAAAACAGAAGCTCTGATTTCTACCATTTACTTATTTCCTTGGTGTAAATACTCCCACATGGTTGATTTCAAGTTACCAACGTGACATCTCTAACTGTGGAGTTGGAAAGGGATGTTAACAATCGCCCTTCATGAAGCAGTTTGAGCTGGCTCCAGCACAGCACTGGAAGGAACTGAGTTGGACAGTGTGAGAGGCTAAGTTGCCATGTTTTCTGATGTCAGTCTTGTGTAGTCCAGTTAAACGTACAAAGAAAAACTGGGCCTCAGGTTATTGCTTACTCCCTTCCACATGTGTTACACTGGTATAAGAAAAAACCCACACACTTTCGCCTATTTTTTAGAGGTGGGTTTTATTACTAATCAGAACATCTGTCATTTCCCTTTTAATATTGTTAATCCCCATACAACAACATGGAGGCTAAATTAAATAACATAACTCAATATAAAAGGAGTGTAGAGCTAAAATGTTTTTCTGCATCTCTCAATATTTCATTAGAACAGCGAGTTTCTACTTTCAAAATCATAGACCACAGGGACTTCCCCAGAGGTCCAGTGGTTAAGACTCTGCGATTCCACTGCAGGGGGCATGGGTTCGATCCCCAGTCGGGGAACTAAGATCCTGCATGCTGCATGGCATGGCCAAAAAAAAAAAAAAATCATAGACCAACCTAAATATATATATGCAAATTGTATAAAATCATTAAAAGTGAAGATGAGTAATTGACAAAAACAAAATTCAACAGCATTTAATTATTTCTTTGGTAGCCTCACTAGCTTTCTTTGAGTAAACACAAATAAAAGCTCTTCACCAATACAAAATAAAGGATAAGATGGCTTGCCAAGTATTTCACCTTTAGCATAGTGTCAAGAGAGGAATAAATAACTTAGAACCTCCCTGAACAAAACTACTGTCTAGGAGTAAAAAATAAACAAGTTTTAAAACAGCTAGTAACTCTTTTCAGCCAAACAGGAACTGTATTAACATAATACTTCAGTAAATATTGACCTAAAGCTTTTCACTGCTACCTCAATTCCACTGATGTTAAATTCCTTATAATGTGACAAAGCCAGCAGAGAACAGATAGCACAGTCCCTCATTGAACTTCTTTGAACAAAAGTCAAAATGTAGAAATAGAAATGTTAAGATAAGGATAAATCTGTAAAATCCACAACGTACACTAAGTTTTCCATTTCAAAAGCCTATCTACTGGGACTTCCCTGGTGGCACAGTGGTTAAGAATCCACCTGCCAATGCAGGGGACACGGGTTCAATTCCTGGTCCGGGAAGATCTCACATGCTGTGGAGCAACTAAACCCATGCACCATAACTACCGAGCCTGCAATCTAAGGCCTGTGTGCCGCAACTACTGAGCCCACGTGCTGCAACCACTGAAGCCCTCGCGTCTAGAGCCCATGCTCCACAACAAGAGAAGCCACCACAATGAGAAGCCCACGCACCGCAGCGAAGAGTAGCCCCTGCTCACCACAATTAGAGAAAGCCTGCGTGCAGCAACGAAGACCCAACACGGCCAAAAAAAAAAAAAAAAAAAAAAAAGGCCTGACCAAGAATCTTTTGAAAGAAAAGTAACTTCTATTTGTGAGGCTAAAAAGATTGGTAGGCAGCAGAATCAAAGAATCCACAAAACTGGAAATAAAGAGCTAATGAAAGATATGAGGTCAGGTTAGGAACAAAGCAGGAAAACTTAGAATGTTAGAAAGAAGTGATAGAAAAAAGATGACTTGGTTCTTTCATGGATTACACAGTGTATTGTTGCTAAAGATGTCCCATATGTGTTGCTGCCTTAGAAACTAAAATTAGTTCTTTCCACCTCATATTACAGAGAATACAGGAGAGACATGAAAAAGCTTCACATGAAAAGAAGTGTGCTAACACTCTGCTTTAATGTAAGGATAATTCATGAGCAGTAATACATCTTACAACAGTTAGGAGAAAGATATGAAGACCATTAACATGTATTATTCAGAAAATAAACTCATGAGTTACCGAGAAGATAGAAATCATAAGGGATATAGGATGAATTAATTAAATTATAGAAATTCATGTTTCCTTTTGTAGTGTCAGTCCACATGCAGTGTCACCAAAAAAGATAATCAACCTGGATTATCTTTTATTATTACCAACCCATTCCAGAAAAATAATGAACTGACCAAGTGATGGAATAGCTAAGTCATATACCCATTTATTAAAGTCACATTTTCCCCAAATCAGTAAATCTAGACATCCTTTCAATGACATATAAAGTCTAAAGTGCTAATTATCAGTTATATGCTACCTGAGAGTTAGGTATTCATCTGAGAGTATAATTCATCTGAGTAAGAAAATGATATTGGAAACCTGGGAGAAAAAGAGGAAAGAACTTTGATGTGCTTAAATATTTCTTATCCAGGATACCTAAAATAAATGCAATATGAAGAAGATTGAATTGTTTGGGATCTATGCATCCTCACAGATTAAAAAAAATGACAATGATAGAGCAAACTGAAATGAGTCAGCTTCTTTTAAAACAAATAGAAAAGAATGATAATTCAAACTGTTAAAAACTGAATTCTTGGGCTTCCCTGGTGGCACAGTGGTTGAGAATCTGCCTGCTAATGCAGGGGACACAGGTTCGGCCCTGGTCTGGGAGAATCCCACATGCCGCGGAGCAACTGGGCCCGTGGGCCACAATTACTGAGCCTGCGCGTCTGGAGCCTGTGCTCCGCAACAAGAGAGGCCGTGACAGTGAGTGGCCCCCGCTTGCCACAACTAGAGAAAGCCCTTGCACAGAAACGAAGACCCAACACAGCAAAAATAAATAAAATAAATTAATAAACTCCTACCCCAACATCTAAAAAAAACAAAACTGAATTCTTGAATGTTATCCTTCACAAGAAATGAGATAAATATAATCTGAGCTGAAAGAATGACAAGCAACTGAGAGTATTTCTCTTCTGTTTTGAGAAGATATTTTCAATTAAGAAACAAAACAACATGGCCCTCTCTTAGGAGCTTAAACCAAAGTGTCTGTGCTGATTAGCTTAGCTAGCGAGTTCAGAGTGCTGAAGGCACTGTGACTGAGGTTTCGATCTCAATCTTCTCAGTTGCCCTGCCAGAGACTGTTCTTCCAACCCAAGCCAGCCATTTGACAGATGTAAGCCACTGGCCCGAGGGAACACAAGCCAGACAGTGGTGATCAGTGCAAATCTTGAAGGTCACTGGAAAAATTGTGTCTTACTGCACCATTCACTATTGATGCCTATGAAGTTTAAAAAAACATTTTCAGAGAAAAATAATTCCGTGATTAGAATTTATAATGTTTACATTCACTACCATTCGTTACTTGTTCTTCTCTTCATTCAAGTATCACCTTATCAGGGAATTCTTCGCCACTCTCTTGTCTCCTTACCCTGCTTATTTTTCTTCTTAGCACTTTCCACTAACTAATGTTATATTAAATATTTATTTAGTTAGTGCCTCCCTCTCCCAACTGGAATGTGAGCTGCCTGAAAGAGCAAGGACTTAGCCTGTTGTATGCTCCTGGTATATCTCCAGAGCCTGGTGTACAATTAACTGCTGAATAAACTGTATGAATTTTGTAACTTCTTAAGGGAGTTTAATCCATGCTTACCTTTAATATGACATAGAAAAACAGTAGATCATTTATAAGCCAAGACTATAATGCTAATTAGTGAAGCAGAGTGTGTTCGTAGTCTATAGGCAGCACTCTATATACCAAAAGAATTTCCAGACTTTTGACACAGCTTTTTCCAACTTTGGAAGGTGTTCAGCATCTTTACCATTCATCTCTATGGGACCGTTCAATGTGTGGACAAACATGAGATATAGGACACAGGGCAGTGGGACTGGCTATTCAGTTCAATCTCAGGAATAAAACTGAAGTTACCAAAACCATTAAGTCTTCCTCGATCAAACTATCAGAAATAAATATCTGGGAAAAGAAATAGAATAACTATTTATAAATTAAGGCTTTAAAGATGCTACAGTTTATTTTTTCAATACCAATAATTTAACACACAAATAAAGTAGAATTTGATGGATAATGTATAGACAATACCCATACCCTCCTCCCAGTTTCTCTGTTTGCTAGACTTAAAAAATGCGGAATTAGATTATCTGGAGGGTAAAAGGTCAAACACAATAGGAAGGTTGCAAGTAAAGGAAAGGTCATGGATATCCAATGCAATCACCTGAAGAATTCCCAAATGTCAACCCGTTAGCCCAGTGGACTATAGTACTATTCTATCTTCTTTAGGTGTATATGTATTTATTTGAGGCCATGTGCTACAGAAAATCTATCTATCCACAATCATATTGCAAATCAGTGACAGGACCAGATCTGCAAATAAGGTGTCTGGACTCAATAGCTTTTTCTACCCTATTCTGCGGTCATTGTTCTCAGGAAGAAATATGAAGCAGCAATTATTTTGTTTTTTATGTCCTGAATCAAACTTTGCCAACCCCAATGTGAAATAACAAGAACACTGGACAAGAAATGAGGGGGTCTGGGATTTGATTCTGGTTCAATAATCATAATTTTAGCTGAATTCATGTTGTTAATTTACTTAATATGTTACTTTAAGTGAACTTATATTTTAAAAAATTTAAATAACTTTAGACTTTCCCTAAGCAATATTTATGAAATTCCATGTTCAATATAATATTGATTTTTCTAATTTACATAAAAATACACAAATGATAATGTGTGTCCACTCATTTACCGTGAGTGGCACATAAACCACACTTTGGGAAGAACAAAAGATGATTTTTAAGGCCCTTCATAGCTCTAAAATTCTAATATGCTAATTAAATCTCACAGTTTTGATAGCATAAGAGCTAGGGTTTAAAATTATAATCTCATCAATTTCATGAGCAAAGTAATAAGTTCCCCCACCATTCCCCACAATAGTTCTTCCTCTATAGGCGCAAAGTTGGCTATAGTTCTTTCTTTAGAAACAAAAATGATGAATTAAAAACTGAATTAAAAACTGGAGTTAACAAAAGCTGAGAGAAACAGTACAAATCACTAAATAAAAGGAATATATATATGTGTTTCTTACTTTATAATGCAGATCCAACAACTAAAATGGATTTGCTTCTGCTGATTCTTAACAAAACAGTCAACCCTCTTTCCCCAACACTTCCCTTCCCCCACTCTTTAATTAATTTTCATTTTTGTTGGTCTGCAAAACCTCTTTAAGGGGACAGTGGAGCCTCCCTATGAGAAGTGAGTTATGTCTAAGAAACATGACACAAGTACACAGAAGTGTCACCAGCTGGTGACTACTATTTTGGTAAAAATAATTTCACTTCTATCACTGTTTCTAATACCTGAACCAGCCAGATGCCATCTTTTGTGTCTTCTACAAGCTCATAGAAGTGCATTTCACCACTGAAATTGGTACTAGAAACAGATTCAGATGCTTCTTCTTCTTTGAGTGCAGAATAAAGCTCACCTTCCATCAGGTCACCTGAAGAAAAGAAAAAATAACACTAATAAGATTGCAAAAATCTCATGTTCCCAACTTCAATGATAAATTCTATTTTATACTGTTAAAAAATTATGTCACTGTACTTTCATTGCACTCTACAGAAGAGTAGAACCTGAATACACCTATTTAAGATTCATACATTTAGTAAATATGTAAGAAGAACCTTCTATGTGTCAGGCAAAAGTGAACAAAACAGATAAAAATCCATCTCCTCATGGAGTTTATATTCTAGTGGCATCATCACATAATTTATTAGGAAATCACTGAATTTATGCCAGCCACAAAAGCCATCACAATATTATTCAGCTTTTGTCCAGGCATCAAATAATTTTTAAACAGTATGATTTATATACTTCTTTTTTGTTTGTTTGTTTTGTTTTGTTTTTGCGGTATGCGGGCCTCTCACTGTTGTGGCCCCTCCCGCTGCGGAGCACAGGCTCCGGACGCGCAGGCTCAGCGGCCATGGCTCACCGGCCCAGCCACTCCGCGGCACGTGGGATCCTCCCGGACCGGGGCACGAGCCCGTGTCCCCTGCATCGGCAGGCGGACTCTCAACCACTGCGCCACCAGGGAAGCCCAATATATACTTCTGACTGACAAGAATTAGAAATGGGTTTACAAAATTTGCTATCACCACCTGCATAACATAGCAACAGGGCTTACATGACTTGGAGGTTAGATACAAAAGATTACCTATAAGAACAAATTCCATATTCATACACAAACTTACAGTGTAAATTTACACTTTGTATCATCAAATAAAAAGTAAAGAAAAACACGTCAAATTATTTTAACTTTTGTCTTAAATGTTAACAATGCAAAAACAAGCATTGTATCACGACAGCAGCAAAACCATCCACAACAAATATTTAAATTATTAAGTTAAATTGCTATACCAAGACCTCTCTGCTATAAAATGTGTGATCTGAGTCATATTTTTGTGAGCTGTGTGTATTCTTTAAATATTATGTGCACTCTTTGTACACTCAAAGTTACAAGTATTTTTAGGCCCAGAGGAAGGCAACACTAAATAAAAGTCTCAAGAAAAAAAATGTGGTATCAAATTACTTTACCATGAAAAATGATTTGGCTTGGGCAGTTAAGGTACTTTTCACTTCTAAACCTAGAATGTTTATTTATTAGAGATCTTCTACTTTACTTTATTCCTCCCCCTACCCTACATGCCAGCCATGGTAGTAATAAAAGTCACCATAAACCAGTCAGTAAACAAGAGGCACAATTTTATGCAAATAACACACAATTTTATGTTTTCTCTAAAGAAAAATGCATCACTTTTACAGAGAGTGTTCCCTCCTCTATCCCAGTAGTGATCTTAACCTTAATCTGCAAATACCTGAGTGCTCAAGTCCTCTGGAGTTAGGATTCTTGTCTATCATACTACATGGCTATAAGATACCAAATAAGGAAAAAAAAATTGTCTTGTAAAAGACACAGCTGACAGATACACTTGAAACAACAAAAAAAGACAACTATCAGTTTCAATTGCTTCCTACAGCAACCCAGAATGCCCTTCTCAAATTACAGTACGTTCCCCTTCCGGGAAGTGTATCTACACCAAGATATATTTTGTCCAGGGGTGAAAAACATTAAGCCCATTTCTCACCCAATCCTACCCCAAAACCAACAGTTATTGAAAATGCATTCTTTAAGATGTTAAATATCTCTTAGCTCAATTCTATCAATATGTCTCAACCCATTTAAGCGGATGCAGCCCCTGTGGCACAGAAGGGAAAAAGTAGTTTACACCCAGGATATAAGAATTCAAAAAAAAATCCTTACAGAAATATAAACTCTTTCGAAACAAACAAGATAGGCATTCACAAAAAATATTCACCTTATTTTCACCAAATTTAAAGTATGAAAAGCTAATACTGTGCCCTGTACACTTTCTCTATATTTAAACTCATTATTTAAAATTTAAATCTTAGAAACATTTTTTTCTATTTAATTTTGTATCTATATGACGTGATGGATGTCCACTAAACTTCCTGTGATAACCATTTCATGATGTATGTAAATCAGATCATCATGCTGTACACCTTAAACTTGTACAGTGCTGCAAGTCAACTGTATCTCAATAAATCTGGAGGAAAAAATAAAATAAAAAACAAAATAAAATTTAAATCCTAGGCCTAAATGCCTCTTTGATATTAAGTATTCCAATGATGTTTTTCCCCTCCGGATAACTTGTTATTACTAGGGTGACAAATGCTGCTATCTACAGAGAACGTTTTGGGGTTTTTCTTGTATACTTATGAATTTCAACTGACAAATAATGCTTTCCAATTTGTTTGTAACTGGTTGACATTTCCGAAATTTGAGAAAAACACTCAATTTAGTAAACAACACTAAGAAGCTGCACTTTAAACTGTTATTTTAAAATAACCTTAGGAAGACACACCAACACCCCTACAAATAATTCCAGCCCAGGCCCCTTCCAAAAACTGGGATTTACTTTTTTTTTGGTAGAAAACCTGGACAAAGGAAACCCGGGTAGCTCTGGAAGTAGTCTGCTTAACCCTTCCAGGTACCGCCTCATTCTGGGGGACCACCAGGTACGAGGAAGTACGGGTCGTCCCCTCCTCCGAGTGGAGGGGACCCTCGGGGAGCCGATACTCGCCTGACTTTTCCACCAGTTCCCGGACATCCTTCTTCTCGGGCAACCCCGAGTACCCCAGTCCCCGGCACTCCAGAATGGTCTTCAGCTTCTTGAAGCTCAGCGCCACCGGATCCACCAGCTGGGTGGCAAAGATGCCAGTTTCGTACCACACAATGGCCTCAAAAAACCTGGCCAGGACGAACAGGACCAGAAAATAGAGGAGCAAGAAAAAAAGCTTCAGCCACATCTTCCCCTGCGTCTTCGCTCTTTTCAGAGAGCTCAGAACACGGAGGAGAGGAGGGGAGACTGGGGGAGTGTGGGCGAGGGCACCAGCCTGGCGTGGGGTACGGCGCCCGCCGCCGTCACTGCGGGGCCATCCCCGGCGGGAGGCAGGTGGACTGTGCGGGGGTGAGGAACAGACCAGGAGGGGCAGAGGCGCAGAGCCTCGCGCGGGGCCTTCCAGTCAGGAGGCGAGAAAAATAAAGGGGGAAAAAATTTAAAAGTCCACCCATTAAACCCCGAAAGGAGAGAGGCGCGGGGAGACCCCGCGGGTAAGAACAAGATGAGGGCCGATTCCGCCGGCGGGGGGCACTGGGATGTGGCGGGGTCGGCCTTCTAGCACCGTAATCTCAACGGAGGAGGGGGGAGGCCAAAAAAATCATTCAGATTCACAAAGGAAGAGGGGGCCGGGCTGCAGGCTGGGGCCAGAGGGGCGGCGGTCCCGGGAGGCTGTTGGAGTCGGCCGGGCTGAGGCCGGCCTCCCGCGGCGGCAGTCAGGAGGGTGCGGTGCTCGGCGGGGCCAGGCCCGGGGCCCAGCGCGGGGAGGACCGGCCGCTGCAGCGCCGCGCCCGGCGCCCAGGCCCCAGGCCCCGCCGGCCGCGAAGGCTCCACGAGAAGCGCGGCGGGGAACGGCGGCGGCGAGTGCAGGTTCGCTCAGGCCGGCGGGCGGCGCCTTTCAGGCTGGCGGGCACCGCGGCCCGGCCCAGGAGGGGGCGTCGCAGTCTCTGCAGAGCGAAATGGGGCGCGCGAGGCGACGGTCCCGGAGAAAAAACGCAAAAATAGGCCCGAGACGTCTCCCCGGGGCGGCTCTCTGGCTGCCTCCTGGTCACGCAGCGCTCGCCCCGCTCGGATGGGCGGCGCGGGTTCCGGCCGCCGTCCCCGACGCCCCCTCCCCCACGCGAGGCCGCTGCCGTCGCCTCTGGACTAGAGGATCCTCGGCGGCCACGGCCCAAATCGAGACATAACAACTGACGTCGGCTGCGGGGCGGGGCCTCGGGCGGGGCCACAAGGGGAGCGCCCGCCGGGCGGCGGTGGGGAGGAGAGGGGAAGGGGAAGGAAGGGGGCGCCCAAGCCTGGGGGCGGGAGAGCGGCGCGGAGCCGCAGCCTCGACGCGGTCTCTTCTGCGCTCCCGAAGTTGCCTCTCCAGTGTCTCCTCCTCTCTCTTTCCTTTTGCCCTGCAGATGTTTAGTAAGTGATTTCGTCTGAGGGTTGCAGTTAGGACTGTGTCGCTTTGTGTGTTTTTTGGTAAAAATGGGGCAGTTAATCATCCTCTTAAAATAAGTAAAAATAAGAGTACGTGTATGCCAGGTCCCGGTTAACTGGGAAAATTTTGGCGCAGTTGATTTGAGATGGTAGAAGGCGAAACCCAGAAAACAATGATTTTCCATCTCTAGGTGAGAATGTAGTAGTTTGCGCATTTCTGTGTTGAAGATTTGGTCAAAGGGGGAGGCAGAACTAGGCTCACCCGTCCCTGCCCGTTACAAAGGCCTCACCACACCCCCTCCTCACCCGTCGCAGTTTCAGTCTCAGGGGCGTTATAAGCCAGGTATCGAAATGCTGAGTTCCCAGGGCAAAGGTTGTTGAGTGTGGATATGTCCCAGTGCAAATTTTCCGTGCGTTTTCTTTCATTACCCTCGCTGAGTGGGGCACCGCCAGCAAGAGGAACTTACATAAATTGAGTAACGTGGGTGAGCACGCAGTACGCGGTTCTGTATTTATTTAACCCCGGTAGAGCATACTCTTCCTGTCGATCTCTGTGCCAATCTTGAGGGAGAAGGGGATTGCATACATAAAATAAACAAGGCTGGCTTCTACCAGACCCCTTGATGAGGAAGAAGAAGACCCAGAAATTACAAGGAAACGTTAGCTATTGTGCAAAGCTGTCAAATGTCCTGAACTAGGGGTGAAAGTTGTAGCAAGAATATGGGTGTGATCCTCACGCTTGGAACAAATGAGGAATGGAAAGCAAAGAATGGACCGTGAGAATGTAGCCTCAGAGTGGCACCCTTTTAGAATAAAGCAAACAAAGGCATTTCAGTGTCCAGCTAGTGGAGGATTATTTAGCGGGGATGGGCCCAGGGACGAGGGAGAAAGAATCAGAGGAGGAGGTGTAGGAATGTACAACCGGCTCTTGGCCTCTGCGTGTGTGTCTTAACTAGCGTCAATGTGGCTTTGTTTCCAGGGCTGGCAGATCAACGTGGGAGGATGTATTAAACATTCTAAAACGCTTGGTTCTGAAATTTCAGAATCCTTGGGCATGTCACAGTGATGCTGTTACTGGGTGATATTGCTGTTCAAACCTAGACATATAAAGTGATGTCCTTCACCTCAAAGAAATGTACTCACTGGAGAGGAAAGACTGCAAGAGGGGCAGGTGGGGAAAATTGGGGTGGCTGAGGATGGAACCAGCCAGGCCAGAGTTTCAAACTGGAAAAATATTAGATTATAGAAGGGACTGGAAAGGAGTTACTAAAGAACACTTTGGACATTTCTTGTTTGTCTTAACTGCCTCCCATCCTCAACACCCTGGATTTGTTCCTCAAGGTTAAAACACTTAGGAAAGATAACAGCACTGATAAAAGAACACGCAGGGTTGGTGGGAAATAGGGATATGGACATTTACATCCTCTATTGATGGGAATGTACAACCTTTCAGGAGAGCAATTTACAGCGCGAGTTAGAAGGCCCCCTGAAATATATGCTCTTTGGCACAGTGATCTCACTTCAGGGAACTTATCCTGAGGAAAGGATAGAATGTGTGCACAAAGATGCATGTGCAGAGTTTTGTTATTATTGTAAAGTTAATAATAGAAAAAGAGAGAAAAAAAGGGAAAACCCAGGTGAACTATTAGGCAGCTACTAAAAAGAAAGATAACTGTATGCATCTTTATGTGATGGGATTTAGATGATTTAATTTTTTTCTCTTGTGCTTTATCTCTATTCTTTTTCTGAAGTAATCATACATTATTTTTGTAATTTAAAATTGTGTTTTAAAACATAAAACAGGGACTTCCCTGGTGGTCCAGTGGGTAAGACTCCGTGCTCCCAATGCAGGGGGCCCAGGTTTGATCCCTGGTCGGGGAACTAGATCCCGCATGCATGCCACAACTAAGAGTCAGCATGCTGCAACTAAAGATCCCACGTGCAGCAGCTAAGACCCAGTACAGCCAAAATAAATACATAAGTAAATAAATATTAAAAAACAAACAAACAAACCCCCCACTAGAACTGCTTCCCTCGTCTTGAGGTTTAGCAGCAGGGATTCATCCTCCAGGACTCTAAGGGAGGTGTGGGCTGTCCTCCTATGAGGATGATTTCAGTTTCCACTATGCCTAACTGGGCAGATTAATTAGAATTTCTGTTCCAAGACCAGGATGACAAAAGGATGTTTGAAATATTTATCGTTTTTCATAATCTGTTTTTCTAACAGCTAGGCTGCTAATCTGGGTTCAGAATCTCAGATTCCGTTCATTTGTGGGATGATTTAAATGCCTTATCATTTGATATTGTGGCAAGAGCATGGGACCCATAATTGGAGGGGCTGGTCCAGTGTAGACTAGTATCTACTAGCTGTGTCACCTTGTTAAGAAGTCACAAGACCGCTGTGAACCTCATTTTTATCACCTATAAAATGAGAAAGGCTGCTTACCTCATGAAGCTGTTGTAAAGATTAAATGAGGTAGTGAATGTAAAAAGTGCTTTGAAACAAACATACTGCTTGTATTTAATTTAAAATAAAGAATTAATTTTAGAGGAAAAGAAAGTCAATG